TTTGGTTTTTTCGCAGTCTGTGTATGAAAGCTGCTGAGAGACAACCCTTCCCTCCCCCACCGATTTCCCTCTCCCCCTTCCAATACACACACACACATACTGACACACACACGTTGACATATACACACACTCACTCACTCACTCACTCACACACACCAAACCCTCTCTCTTTCTCCCTGGTGCTCATGGGAACGGGTCCGGGGCCTGTCACTAACCCGCCCCCCTCCACCCCCTCATTGCCGCGGTGACAGGGCTTGTTGACAAACGCCAGCAGTCATCAGGGCACCATGGGAAATCTTCTGCCACCATTTTGTCAGCAGAATGACAGAAGCTGTTAATGTCTCGCCTCTCGCCCTGACACGAGACACCGGGGCTGACAGACTCTGACACGTGCCATACACACACACACACACACACACACACACACACACACACACACACACACACACACACACACACACACACACACACACACACACACACACACACATACACACATACACACACACACACACACACACACACACACACACTCATACACACAGTCACACACAGTCATGTGATACACACTGCTGTGCGTATAGCTGTACATTGACACAAATGTCACGCTCGATACAGGCACAAACACAAATGTCCGTGCACACTCACACACACTGAGGTGCTACAAACACACACACCATTCATGTCCAAATTTGTGTGCCCCCCATCCTTCACTCTCCCCTATCTCACTCAACTAAATCAGTCAGTGTGTGTGTTGTCTGACAACTAGATGTGTATGGATGTTTAGTGTGTATGACTCAGGAGTGTTAATGAGGATATGTCTATGAGTGTGTACGGCTACTAATGAGTTGTACTCTAGTGTGTGTGTGTGTGTGTGTGTGTGTGTGTGTGTGTGTGTGTGTGTGTGTGTGTGTGTGTGTGTGTGTGTGTGTGTGTGTGTGTGTGTGTGTGTGTGTGTGTGTGTGAGTGTGTGTGTGTGAGTGTGTGAAAACAGTGTCTCAGCTCTCGTTATGGATGCAGCGTATGCGTCTGATCAATAACATTTACAATCCCGACAGGAGATCGAGCCTGGCGGACAACCCTAACTGACCGTTATGAGAACATGATGAACTCCGGACTCAGCGTGCACACACACACACACACACACACACACACACACACACACACACACACACACACACACACACACACACACACACACACACACACACACACACACACACACACACACACACACACACACACACACACACAGATACATATGGGCAGCTTCTCTGGACAGCCAATTACCGTTCCTCATAATCCACACACAGCCTCTGCCATCCATCTGTATACAGCCGACAGACGTCGAGGTGTGTGTGTGTGTGAGTGTGTGAGAGTGAGAGTGTTTGGGAGTTACAGAGGATGCCAAAGATCCCTCCAGAATCCACAAAGATACACAGTCTTAAGCTCTCAGGCCCCTGATCAGATCAGCGTTGGTAGTTCACCACATTTCGCTGCGCTGGCTGCACATGTTAGGAACTGAAGTGTTTAATGTCTCAGGATTGTATCGAGTCGTACCTGCAGGGACAAACAAGGCACAATCTGCTGAAGATGGAAACTTGTGGTGTTTATTTTGTGTTTCAAAGTGTGAATCAGGGTTAGGCTTGTTGTTTCTAGAGGCTGGAAGAAGCCAAAGGGAAAGTGACTGTGGCTTGGCAAAAAAAGAGAAAGATTCGAGATTACAGCAGGTTGGAGGAGTGCTTAATATTGTACCACACAGGAAGCACTGCCAGCTTCAAATCAACATCCCATTTCAAGGCTTTTACATGTTAGGATATCGAAACATGTTATGCCATACCCACTTGTAATAAAAAGTGTGTTCTTGTAAGCACATTTATTTGCAATGAACTCAAAAATAGTATTATGAAATGACTCATCTGACTGAGCTCAAAAGTGCTTCTAACACCTCGAAAGGAATGAAAATGTCCACATGTCTGAAAAGCAAGATAACCTGCTCAGATATTAGGAGATGATATCAACACACCCACAAAGTTGATTTAAAAAAAAAAGGAAAATCACTGTTTAGCTGTGTAATATTACTGAGCCTTCTGAATGCGTTGTTATTATCTAATTATAATACTTTGAAACAGCGATCTAGTAGCCATATGGAAGCGCATCACACACACTTTGAGTATCATTGTCCTGCAATCACCAAATCATGTGTCATATAAGTTCTCTCTCAAACACTGGCAGAGCTCCGTCACTTGTACAGTTAATAACAAGACTTTAAACATCAAACACACCCACACACACTCAACTTGATACGTTAACAGTAAGAAGGCTGTATGGAAAACCGGTTAGGCATCTATTTTACACACAGTAGAGCAAGAAAGAATCATAAAAGGAATATCTTATCAACAAACTGACATTCTGATGTATACACTTGTACTGTAACTTTCATTCAAACATTCTCAACAATGTCATCCCCACCGACAGAAGTTTTAACCCTGGATTTCTCTGTAAAAATCAATAATGATATGTATTTTTATCTGCTCCACAAGTGTCATTGTTGGAGCTTTTCCATTTTACAGCTGTTTTGTAAATGCTTATTTTCACAAATCACAAGATTACCTTTTTAATGAGCAAAGTAACCATATTATAGCTTTCTGGGGCTAATATAACATGAATTGAAGCCTAATTGCTTCCAATAAAAGTTAGGGTTTTAACTCATTTATAAAAACAAGATATCTTTCTTGTGACTTGTGTTTATTTTTAAAGTGTGGAAAAACAAATCCTGACCCTGTAGCAGGGGTTCCAAATCTAAGGGTTGGGCCCCACTGAAGGGTTGCCAAAAAACATCTTAGGGGACGTCAGAAAATATATGGGAGAGGATAGAAAAAAAAAAGATTCTTATACAGAAATCCCAATTTATTTTCTCTAATCATTTTTGGTGAAATATATACAGAAGAGGATAAGGGCCACATGATTTTTTTTTTTGGGAGGATTTGAAAAAAAAGTCAGAATTCTGAGAAAAAAGTCAGAATTCTGAAAAACTTTTTTTTATGTGGCCCTCATCCGTAAATATAATATTGGATAATTTAGTCTTAATTTTCTATAAATAGTTATAAGACCCACCAATTTTTTCGTATGGGGTCATGAGCCAAACAGGTTGCAAACCACAGCCCTTTAGCACTTTCCTCACAAGAGTTAGGGTACATTAGCACCGTGCATCGAAACTTGTTTAACATCACACACTCGCACACCGAGCGCACGAGCAGGTGGAGGAAGAGCGAGTCAAGTGCAGCTTTCAGCAGGTGCCGCCCCGCGTGAGGCGGCTAGGACGAGATGAAAGACACCGCTGCTCACCGATTTCCCCCCCCCTCCCCGTGAACCCCCCCAGTACCCACCTTCCTCCCCTCCTCTCTCCTCCCTACTTCCCTGCGCTCGATGAGGTAGATTTGTAGTGACAGCAGCGGGTGCATTCGCCAGTCATTCCCCATAAAAGCTTCATTCTGATCAAAGCCCCGCTGAGGCAGGGAGGCGGCCGCGGTGTCGGCGTGTCGGTGTGTGTCTGCGTGTCTCCGGTGTCTCGCAGGGTTGAAGCGGGTTTGAAGCTTTAAAAACACAAAAACCCTCTCTGTCTCTCTTTCCCCGCTATTTACATTCGAGCTCCGTTTTGCCTTGGCAGTAAAACATTGGTTTTATTCCCTCCGCCTGCAGCCCGCGAGTGACAGGCTCGACTGCATTAATCAACTCTTTCCCGCTCAGAGTCAAGCATTTCTTAAACTGGAGGAATTAAATCTTTAAATACATTTTAAATGGAAGTGTCTGACTGAAGTTATGTTAACAAGCCCCTCCAACCTGTGTGTGTATGTGAGTGTGTGTGAGATGAATGGAGCAGCATCCCTGCTGAGCGCTGAAGGGATCGTACACACCAAAGCAGAAAAGAGGCAATGTGTTGATATAAATTTACCTATCTGCCTTCAATTACACAAACACTTAAGCAGGTGTAAAAGTTGGCTTTTTGCACACTATGAACACCACATTTTAGGAAAACAACGTCGCACCGTGAACTTTAAAGTACCCCGGCAGCCATATTCCTAATTGTTCCATATTCATGTTCATCACCAGGAAGCATCCCTCTTTACCTCCTCATTAACATCAGTCGTCCGTCAGAGGCAGACAGCATTATTCACCATCAATTAGGAACACTCCAAAGCCGTCTGTGCTGCTGACACGTCTTGATACAGGCCGGGATGCAAATGCTAAAATATTTTGGCAATGCAATTTTTTTAAATCTATTAAAAAGAGCAGACTGAACACCCCCTTTCCCCCCAAACCTCATTGTTGTTGTTATCTGCAGCTCAACGCTTCCCATACATTGATCTTCTTCCTTGCAGTAGTTGCAGTCCCTGCTGAATTAAACCTTGTGTTTTGAAGTTGTTGTCCATGCATCAAGGCCTTCAATCGGAACAATGTGTTATAAAATATAATGAAATATACTCTCAGTCAAAGTCACTATGTTTTAGGAACCCAATCTTCAATCTTAGAATAATTTAGTGGAAAGATAACTTCCTAAATGTACACATGACAGCCCTAGTTTAATTATATACTGTGGTAAGGTTCTGCTAAATCCTTTCCATCATGAGAATATTTCAAAAGCAGTTTCTTTATATAAACACAAAATATTCTAATGAAGTTTAAACATTTATGGTTATTCCACATGATAGATTTCCGTATTTGTACTTTTGTCTCCTTTTTAATGCTTCGTAATGGGTGGGTCTCATTTGGGAAAAAGGGCTGTTTAAGGAATTGCATCAAAACATAAAAGTTGTTGGGTAAAATGTCCAAGTCTGATCAAACTAGAGCGACGAAGCAGATGCTTATTTAACTGAAATGTTGTAGTTTTTTTAGTCAAAGGTATTAATCGTTATCTAAATTGTAAACTATGAGCTTTGGAAAGCCGTCAAGAACGCCTTTTTCAGGCTAGTGAGAAATAAGAACAATAGGCCAAGAAATGAGTTTCAGAGTGGTCGTCACAACACCCTTTATTTCCAACAGTTTGTAAGAAAATCATATGACAGCTTATATAAACATTAGGGTCACTGTACCTCTGAGTGCTTTTATTTGTTCTATGTTACAATCGACTCAGTGACACCGCTGACATGATGCATCTCCAAGTCCATGAACTCATAAGCAACATTCCTCGATAACATTCTGCTATAATTTAACGGCCTCTAGGCAAAATTGAATTTACACAATATTCTTAAAACGCACTCACATACTGTATCCGACTCCTCAAGGCAAAGCGGTGCATAGTATGTACACTCTGTTGTGTGTGTGAGTGTGTCTATCTTGTTGAACCTGTAGATCGGGTCACAGATGGTGTTTTAAGTGCTTTTATTGGGGGTAGGCCTCGATCACCATGGCATGACCCTGGAAAACAAAAGAATACAAGTTTGTCAGAAATAGAATAAAATAATTACATCAGAGTTGCTCATTTAAAATGTGTAATCTGGAAGAAATCTATCTTCTAATTACAATGGCATCAGTGCACTAACTATTGCACTGCAACAGTACTTCAGGTACATTTGCCCTATTCATCTTGCACTTTTACAGATATCCAGCTGTACATGTTGTTTATACATTCATCCTACTTGTGCGCACTATAACTCAACCTAAACTCTGTACATACAGCATGTACTTAGTTACATGTATTACCTGTGTATACTATAACGTTTAAGCATCATTAATGCTGTAGTACTTACTGCACTTTCTGCAATTGATATGGTATATTAGTATATATACTAACATGCAGTCCTGGTTATATTTTAAACTGCATTTTATTGGCTTGTACCTGTACTCTGACAATGAGAATAACATTCAGTCTAATCTAATTTAAACATGATATCATACAACTAAATACTACATTATACCTAACATATTCTAGCATGCGATAGTGAAGTCCGCATTTTAAAAGTTTAAGATCTGAAGCAATGATTTCTAACTATTTAACACTTTAAATTGTGAGAACTGAATGAGTCAGTTGTGTCTTGTGTGATTCTGTTGTTCATTACCTGTCCTCCAGCAGCACAAGCTGCCACCAGGCCGTACTGCCCGCCCTCCCTCTGCAGCCGGTGGGCCACGGTGGTGACCAGCCGGCAGCCGGTGGCTCCGAACGGATGGCCCAGAGACAGAGAGCCCCCCCACAGGTTGAACTTCTCCATGGGAGGAGCTCCCACCTACACACACACACAAAATACATTTAGTCAGGACTAAAGTATGTCTTTCTTTAACATTTGAATCAAAAACATAATGAGTGCAAAGGTTACACTTTTTGTTAACAATTGAAAACGGAATAATAGGATTTCCATACCGACCACTTCTACATTAATCAGTTGACGACCGACCGGCATTATTGACAATATTTTGTTGGCTTTAGATGCCTAATATGAATCTGTACTTTTATCATAGTTATACATATAAAACATCCAATTTCTAATGGATACGTCATTAGCAAACCCAGGTCTACATATTTCTTTAGTATATTATTTACCGTTTTTGAGTACATCCATATTAAAATATGATTAGCACCAATACCAAATACTGATAATATTCTTATAATAACCTATTTGTCAAAAGTTAATCAGTTCACAAATATCATTTACATGTGACATATGATCAGCATCTATCTTTACCTTTGATTTCCTGCCCAAGTACGTCTGGCCGAACCAATCTGAGTCCATCGCCTTCAGATTTGCCATAATCTGGCCCTGAAAAAAAGAAAGAGATATAAATCCACAGGGTCACCGACGATACCAGACAGAAAACACATTGAAATGCATGATATGAAAAAGACCAGGCCAATCTTACTCCCACATTCTGATTGATTCTCATCAATAACAGAAGCCATAAATGGATAAGAAATGCACATCTGTTACTTTTATTAGAGATTGACAGGACATTTCCCTCCACAAGCTAATGCAGTTTTCCCACTTAAAAGTAGTAATAACTTACTGCGAATGCCTCGTGGAACTCAAACACGTCGATGTCACTCATGCTCAGACCGGCGCGCTCCAGGACCTTTGGTGTACCGTACGTTGGCCTGGAAGAGACAAAAAGCAAACCGAGTTGAAAAGAGAGAAATACCTCAAAATGTTTTTATTTATGTAAATTAGATTTAAAGTTAGGGTAGGTAAGAATGGAGAAACCAGCTCGAGTGCGCTAGAATTTGAAAATACGCAGACGAAAACAATCTGCCCCTTCCTTCAGACTTCCTCACAGAGCCCCTCCTCCAACACACACGAGATACATTTGTGCACGAGATTGAAGGCTGGGCCGGCTCAGATGGTTGGTCGTGCTTTTTACAGCGCCACGGCTTCCACAGATGAATTTTTTTTTAATGTATTTTTTGTCTAGACCAGGGCTTCTCAAACTCCGGACCAAGGTCCGGATCCGGACCACACTGTAAATCAATCCGGACCGAACCCTGTGTCCCATTATAAAAAAAATAATAATAATAATACAAAAAAAAATAATTAAAAAAAAATAAAATCTGATTCTGATGTAAATTAAAGTGGACCTATTATGCTATATTGTAGGGCCATACCTATACAAATATAGGTCTGTGAAGTTTTTTTGCTTAAAATACCAAACAGTTCACCCATTCTAGCCATGCCTCATACTGCTCTTTTGCAGCCCTGTTAGAGAAACGCAGATTTTGGGTCCTTAGCTTGAAAAAAAAAGAGGAGGCGGAGCTAATGCCTGATCAGAATTCTACCGGAGATAAAGTTAAATTCTGTTGTAATAAAACGCCATCCTGTTCTTATCCACATCAAGAATTATTTCTGAAACAGTATGGATCTCAAATGCTTTTTCTCTTGCGGGTTTACCACAAGGTGAGTTCCTTTTTTGATTTCCTGCTTTTTAAACACATGTGCTCTCCAGTACAGGTTAGCTCTGAGTGTTAGCGAGGCTTGCTAATGTAAACAAAGACGAGATTACGTCCAAAACACGTTCAAAACGCGTCAGGCATTGTTTCTGATAGCAACTTTCTGTGGGTCCGCTGCCGATTTGACGTCAGATTGGCAGCAAATCTGTATCCGCTCGTTGTACCCCTGTTTTTAAAAGATTTGGGTACGGAGGAAAAGAGAGAGGGTTGTATTTTCTGACGCTGCGTGAGTTCCCCGACGCACCGGGGACACATATTTATGTATAAAAGACATCACAAAGTGCATTTTGCATGATAGGTCCCCTTTAATGTATATTGTCTTGTGCCTGACGCGTTCTGAGAATGAACGTGCATATATTTACTTGTGTGCGCGAGCGTGACATGCATTTAAGTTAACCACAAGTTTACCTTGACTTTCTAATGCTTCTAATGCCATTTTTGCCGAGGTTCAAGGCATTGGCTACAGACAAACAGTGCCATTTCTCCCACTAGTTCAAGCCATACTGTACAGTGTTTCCCACAGGGGGGTGCGCGAAAAAAAAAAAAAAAAAAAAAGTTTTAACAACATTATTTATTGACTTTTCATTCCGGTATAATCATTTTGCGCAAAGATGGCACTGTTTGTCAGAGCACTTCATCCTTCTGGGATTTCATGAAGAACAGCTCCAATGCCTGTGTGTATGGGAACGCCTCTGGTGCTGGTCCATTAACTGCCAGTGTTTCCCACAGATCTGAAATATACTTTGGGGGGTGGTGGTAGCGGAGGGGGGGGGGGGGGTGTTGAGGTGACGTGCAACAACATTAACATTAACCTTTCTGTTGGTCGCTTGTTAGCAGACCCTTCACGCGATGGCAGAGCGAACAGGTACAGGCAGGGCCCATAATGATAGCCCTATAGTTTAAATCTACTACCCACACATGAACATATGGAAATGGGTTACTATTTTTAAAAATAAATGTATTTATTAATGTATTTAGGAACCTATCCATGTGATTTTTAGTGGGGGTCGACCTCAAATCCTCTAGGGGGGGTCCAGGGGCATGCCCCCCCGGTAAGATTTAATTTTTTATTTTGGAGTTAAATGCATCAATCTGGTGCATTTTGAGGGGAAAATAAAGAGACTAGATCTATGGAAACACCTATATTTAACAGAACTGTATACATTTCAATAATCATAAAATCATGGCCATAACCAATAACCTACCATTTCCAATATGAAAAAAACACTGAAACTTGTTTATTAATTTATTTTTGGTTCATTTATAGTTGTGAGTGTGTCTGTGCTCCTGAATCAGCCTCTCCTGTCTCCCTCCTCTCCCCCCCTCCTCTTTGAGGCAGCAGCAAAGACTAGTTTTCTCTCAACAAGTTTTAAAAGTGTATCTTACCTTTTTTCACCTAGTTAACTTTTTATTTATTTATTCATGCATATTTTACTAATCACATTACATTTCATTTAGCTGACGCTTTTATCCAAAGCGACTTATAATGACCGATTACAGGGACATTCTCCCTGGAGTAACTAAGGGCTAAGTGCCTTACTCAAGGGCACACTAGTGGTGGTGTTACAGGCGGGATTTGAACTCACAGCCTTCCGATCTTCAGCCCACCTCACTATCCATAGACCAATCACTACCCTCTCAAATGGAAATATGTGTTTACATAAATGGTGACCACACCATTTGAGACCCACTGAGAACTTAGACTAAGTTAACTATCTAAACACTCAGAGTGCTTTACTTCACCTGAGCTGAGGTTATCCCGAGCTTGAATGACACACAGAGACCAATCAAGGGCTTTGATTTATGATCTGTATGACAGTGGCCATGTCGGCAGGTCACATCATGTGGACAGCCAGTCCCCCTGTGTGAGGCAGGCCACTTAACAGGCCAGAAGGAGGCGAGATCAGAGCAAGGGAGCGAGGGATCATTGTCTACAAGTTAATCGATCGCAGATGGTGTCATGGTCACGGACGTATGAAAAAAAAAAAAGAAAGAAAAAAAAAAAAAAACCTAAATGGGTCGCGAAATATACTTGGGCGGCCGTTAATATACCTGGGCGGCCCGCCCAAGTATATTCTATGTGTGGGAAACCCTGCTGTATGTATGTATGTATGTATTGAATGTCTGTGTGTATACAGGGGCGCCGTTTACCGACAGGCAAGTGCTTGGACCAGAAGGGGGGGGGACTTTACTGGCGTTGATCCGGACCATTGACCTTGTATAAAATTCACAAGTGGACCTTTAACAAAAAAGTTTGAGTACCCCTGGTCTAGCCCCTCCAGAAAAACGCGATTCTGCGATCGCAGAATTTACCGCATAATCAGCAAAATGGCGCAGATTTTTAAAAGGCCGCATATTTATCTAAAGGCCGCATAATCCCCGCATTTTTCCACACAAAGTTGAGGGAAAAAAAAGTTAACTCGTCTTGACGTGATGATGATGATGACGCAACGTCATCAGCTCGCGCATCACAGAAGGTAAACAACACCGTAGAGTGAACGTGTGGAGCTCACACGAGAGAGAAAACACCAAGATGAAAAAATCTAATCCATCTCATTTACCGACCAACATTTCTGCTAAAGACCGGGCAAAGCAGTACCCCGATGTCATGCACGAAAGTGGGGGGAAACTATTCTGCACCCCGTGCAACTGTGTTGGAGCATAAGAGAACATCGACGGTGACGACCCACTTTGATTTATTCAAAGATTCGAAAATGCTTTCTGCTGCTGCGGACAAGAAAGCCAAACAACTCACGTTCACCGAGGCATCGACCTCCAAACCCCTTTCGAGGGCTACAAGAAACGAGGTGAGAAGCCTACAAGATTGAAGCTGGTCAGATAACGAACGAGTAAATGAAAACAGAATGAGGCGGAGAAGTGTGTGTGTGTGTGTGTGTGTGTGTGTGTGTGTGTGTGTGTGTGAGATCACATAAAACCCCGCATGTTTAATCGCATAATCAAGGATTTTTGCCCGCGTTTTTCTGAAGGGTCTATTTGTCCAAGCATTTAATGTATTCATTGCTATCTGGATGTTAAGAGCATTCCATGGAATATAACAAAAAGTGTTTCTGAAGTGAATGACCTACCCCACCTTTAAACACATACACAAGGTCAGCTTCACACATCACAAATAGTTTAAGAATCCATTGTTAATTATTAAACAAATAATGTTTTCATGTTTTTCAAACTAAGTTGAACTCACCCCAAAAGCAGCTGATCTTTGGGGTCCTGGGACACGTAGACAAAGTCTCTGCAACGATGCAAATGTAATGTGATCAGCACATATTAAAGAGTTTCATTGGGGAAATGAAGGTTACAAAAATGGAGAGCGTGCAGATACCTGAGGTAGGCTTTAGGCTTGTAGCCCATAGCCAGCGCTTTCTCTTCGGACATGACGAGCACAGCAGAGGCACCGTCAGTCTGAGACACAAGCACACAAGCGCTTTGTTTAATGTCAGGGCCGTTTGTGAGCACAAAATAGTTGAAACAGAATCGGGGGAGATTAAAAAAAGTGTTGTCACTTGTTTCATTCATCAAACCAACACGCAGTTCAAATTAATGTGTTTGCAGTGGTATGTTTGTTTTGTACAACGAGACAAATAAATCAAATCTAGAAGGTCATTGGGAGTGCTGTAAGGCCTGAGTGTGTGAGTGTGTGTGTGTGTGTGTGTGTGTGTGTGTGTGGGGGGATCTCCTAATTTAGCCTCTAGATAGCTGAGACGTCGGGGTGTGTCAATCTCAGCGCCCCGCTTTTTTCCCCACTTAACTTTTTAACCGAGTTTCCTCCTTTTTGCAATCCTCCATGTGTGTGTGTGTGTGTGTGTGTGTGTGTGTGTGTGTACCAGGAAGGAGGAGTTAGCAGCAGTGACTGTGCCGTGAGGTTTGATGAAGGCGGCCTTCAGTTTTCCCATTTGCTCCATGGAGGAAACACGGATGCCGTTATCCTTGGAAACAATATCACGACCTGGTAAAGACAAGACAGTAAAATAAATATTCTGTAAATACAAATTTAATAAGATTCAAGTCTTTGGATTACGACTGAATGTCTACAACAATAAATTAATTCTCCAAATAGTTGCATTTTCTGTCAATGGATTCATTGTTTTAGCTCTAAACACAACCATTAACAATATCAATAAATGCTTCACATAAGCACTTCTGAATGAAATCAATAAAAAGCAAGCAGGTAAATACAACGGACAAATTAAATATACAAATTAAAACAATATAACCATTTGTACACGATGACCCAAACAAAGAAACCATTACAGCCTATTCAACCATCCTTCAATGTGTAATGTCATTTATCTCAGTTTAAAGAGTGAAGCGGGGTTTACCAGGCACTTTGAAGGAGATGACATCCTCCAGCAGCCCTGCGTCCTGGGCCTGTTTGGCCAGAGTGTGTGAGCGCACAGAGAACTCGTCCTGCTCCAGTCTGGTGACCCCGAAGGCAGCAGCCAGACGGTCAGCGCTGTGGCCCATCGTCTCAGCGGTGGAGAACTCCGCCACAGCAGGAAGCTACACGCAGAATAAAACGTTTTAGGAGGAAATACTATATGCTTTATTTTACCAGGTAAAAGTCTCATTGAGATTCAAATCTGTTTTTCAAGAGCCACAACAAATGAACACAAAACAATACAGGCAGACGAATACAGCTGTAAAACACAAATGATGGGATATACGAGCAATCACATCGACCAATGGATTCTTGTTCTCTGTCCTTTAAGATGGACTTGAACTCCCCCATAGTGATCTGAGAGTTTCAGCTCCTTCTGTACGTTATTCCAAGCATAAGGGGCAGCATATTTAAAAGCTTTTTGACCCAGTTCTGCTCTCACTTTAGGAACCAGCATCTGAATAAAATCTTGGGAACGCAGGCCATATAGACAGGAGAAGAAATGTGATTACCGATGTTGTAATCAAATGTAACAAACATAGATTTGTAGTATGTATAAAACACACCTCAGGGGACAAGTGTGCCATCCGGATGCTGCCAATCAGACCGAGCCTCTGGCCGAGGGTCTTTGCTTTGCTGAGGGACAGCATGGTCTTCCTCATCTTACGGCTGTGACGAATGGGAACGTCGGACATGAACTCCACCCCTCCCGCCACGACAGAGTCACACTGTCCTGCAGCGATCATACCAACAGCTGGAGAGAAGGAGGGAGACAAACAAAGGTCAGACAAAGTATGTCGTCGTGTCCTCAATTGGCTTATAAAATATATAATATCATTGTTGTGTGCAGCTACAATGTAGTCTTCTCTGAGAATCTCTTGTGACTTATGTGAGATTTCTTTCCCCGACATACCTGAGGTCATAGCCACGTTGGAAGAGATGCAGGCCATGGTGACGGTGTGAGCTGGGATCCTGTCAGAGAAGCCTGCGCCGAGTGCTGCCTGAAATCAAGGTAAACAAAGAAAAAGATGCATGAAAGGACAGTATGTCATGATAACACCTTTAATCAATTGTAGGTCTTAGCAATTATCTTAAAGAGAGTAAATGAAACGTATGAAAGGCACCCGAAGCGCCAGATAATATAGCCATTTTGTGAGAGCAAATATCTGTGTGTGTGTGTCATTACCTCTCTTGCTATATTGCTGGTTTTGACCTCCTGAATGACTGTTCCATATATGATGTAGTCTACAGCATCTTTGGGTAAACCTGTCTTGTGCAGCAGACCCCTGAGGAAACCCAAACATCACATTTTAAACCACACTTTCTTTTTTAAGATTGAAAAAAACTGGGAAACAAGACAGAATAGATATTGAAAAAAAAATACATCCTGACCTAGCTGAAAAACTCATCAACATTAATCCAACCCCCCTTAGATTTCTGCTCCACTTTCCTCTATGTCTCCCCTGAACAGACGCATTAGTATGCTTTAACGACTACATTTTAAATCTGATAGTGTCATGAAACCATTCACAAATAAAAATAAATATACGTAGGATAACACTTACTGCAGAGCTGCTCTGGCCAAGTCATGGGGCATGAGGTCAGCATATCTGTAACACAGACAAAAGGTTTTTCTTCCTCCCAAAGTCATGGTAATCAGAGGCTCCAGCCACTGAAGTAGGCAATAGGGAAAAAGCAGAGACTTACGTGGTTCCAGACAACAGGAAAGGGGTTCGGACTCCTTCCACCAGAACTATGTTCTTCACACCGGGCCGGGCCAGGGTCTTTTTACTCTTTGTCTGAACTGAACATTAAGAAAGCAACATGTAGTTAGACTCTGATAGCTCATATTGGAAACACCAGACTATAATCTGGATTGTTATGTGATTGCAAATCATATCACTTCGATTGTTGACCTACCCTGTGCCTGCAGAGGGGACGTCGTGCTGAGAGAGCGTGCCGCTGAGGAACACAGAAAAAACATTATCAACGACAATCGAATCATTAAATGTTTTTTTATTTAGCCTTTATTTATACAGGTGTAAAATCTCATAGACACAAGGTCTCATTTTCAAGAGAGACCTGTCAGTGGTAACACTACCACACAACATATTTATTTAATATATTTTCAATTACACAAAATGTTAGTTCGCACAGCATAAGGAATATATGTATCTGTTATTCTGTAAAACAAATAAAATGATAGTAGACTTACTCAACCGCACCGCCCAGGAAGGACTGACAGAGCCGCTCCGCATTGTGCTCAGCAACATGGCGGCCATTATGTTCTGCAGAGAGAGAAACTGTAATTGTTACTGCAAAGTTATTACCAGGGTTCTGATTTAAAAATAAATAAAATCATGGTCCTGTATAAAATTAATAACATTTGAAATAAATGTAAATACTTTGTTTTACTCGTTTTGTTTTTCTCAAATAAAATAAAAGTCAAATTTCCACTTCAATTGGAAAGCAGACTTCCAGCTAATGCAATAAACACAGTATGAGAACAGCATAGTAAAGTTCAACAGTACCTCAAAATACATATCCAAAATAATCATAAAGTGGAATCGAAACATCTCCAAGACATTTTCAACAAAAAGTGACGTAACCACGCTGCAAAGCCTCTCAGGTAATACTCAGATCGACTGTAGGCAAAAGGTCGTTTAAGCCCCTGTGACTTGTGTCTGTATTTACCAGACATAATAAACAGTCATACTTTAGGGTAAGATGTGTTTTATTTTGCAGTTTAACGAGGGCAAGTATATACATATTCAGAGGGGGAATGTGACTGGGTATATTTACTCAAGTACTATACTTAAGTAACATTTTGAGGCACATGTACTTCACTTGAGTATCTTCATGTTATGCTACTTTAAACTTTAACTCTACTACATTTTGGATGCAATGTTTTACTTTTTACAAATTGAGTTACTGGATTTATAATACAGAATATAAATCAACCAATAAAGTAGTATATAGTTTAAACTACCCAGCAGTATAAAAAGTAATTTAAATAATCCCAACCTTTACCAAGTGCAACATTAATTATTATTATAATACAAAACTGTAATATTTTGTAATCTGATATATGCCAATACTTGAGTACACTTGTGAATGCAGTACTTTTACTTGTAACAGAGTATTTTTGTAGTATAACTAATTTAACTTGATTAAAATATCTGAATACTTCCTTCACCTCTGTGTGTATTATATATGTATAAGATATGCCTTATACAATCTTTTATTATGTGGGACAATGTGACATATAATTGACGGTCACAAAGCCCCACCCCCTACAGTCTCTGACCCTTCACCTAGATTCCTCTCCTGGAGAATGTCAGACACAGAAATACAGGATCATGGGACTAAAACAAGGTCATATCCGTCTACAGATCAGTGTCCTTTATTGTGCTCTAACGTTACATTGACACCAATAAAGAAGACACATGTTTGAAACCACAAACACAGCAAAACAAAGCCAAATGCGAGCTAGTGAAGCTACGTAGCTACATGTTAGCTAAAGTTTCCATTCAGTGTTTAACTGGTCCACTATGCTTTGTGAAAAAGAACACATTTACAGAGTTTGTACAATGTCTGGTCGCCTTCTAGTTTTACTATTATTGATAGTTAATTTGTGGCTTACCTGTATTTGTGTTAAGTCTCCGTCGTCACCTCTTCCCTGTCAAACGATCGGCTCCACAAGACTAGTAGCAGCACGAACTACGCATTCAAGGACCCACACATATATTAGATGACCAGGATAATGCCTGAAAGAAAACCACGGTCAAGTAATTATTGGGTACATATTTGCTTTTGTGTAGGAGTTTGTTTTAACTAAACACTGTAATATCGACATCTTTTAATATTTTATTTGATGATGAAAATATGTATGTTAGAAAAAGAACATCTTATGCAACGGCAGTATTTAGGCGTATATTGTTATCCGTTATCCCCAACGGTCAGAATATTAACTGCGCCGAGGACAGGTGTTGAGCACCTTGTTGAAGAGTTTCAGGTGAAGATGGCAATTGTTTGTGCAAAAGTTTTGCGGCTAGACGATCTCTTATCGTCAGATATGTAATACATAATTAATATTTCAACATCTGTTTCATTGAATAAAATGTTAATGGTGTTTTGATATAGTAGGCCTGCTTGATGTTAGCGACTGGCATCAGTATTTTTTTTTAAACTGAGTAAAACTCATTTGTGCAATTATACTGAGAATGGTCAAATATTTGATATTTTGTACGCCTACTGAACTGGTTAAAACTGTACTTAATTGCACTAAAAAGCCCTAATTGTTGTAATGCTTTAAAAATAAATAAAGAGTAGTTAATATCTTCATCATCACTGGTACCCGTCAGAGTCACCTTACTGTGAAGACCAGCTAATAACAGTTTTTTTTAAGGTTTTAGTATTGTTTTTCTATTTTTAAAACAGATTTGACAGAATTGCATTTTAAAACCTTAGGTTAGTGTGTGTGTGTGTGTGTGTGTGTGTGTGTGTGTGTGTGTGTGTGTGTGTGTGTGTGTGTGTGTGTGTGTGTGTGTGTGTGTGTGTGTGTGTGTGTGTGTGTGTGTGTTTGTTTATGAAGGAGAGTATGAGACAATACATAGGCTACATGATGTCAGAGAGATTGTGTTTTGTGACAGTCTTGACTACCTGTCTCTCACTGAGATGTGACATGAGGATAAATCAGATGGGTGCATGTGTTTGTGTGTATGCAGGTGCCAGGTGAACACACTGTCATGGCAGGTGCAGTCTGATGGAGATGTGGTCGAACAGTGCTGTCTTCATCTCAATCAATCCTGGCTGCATCATCCCCATTGCAGATATTACGTAAGCTTACTAGGGCTTTAACAGGGTTTCCTAATTCTTGCATGTGTGATCTCTCCTACATTAAAATGATAATTTATTTTGACCCTTCAAACTTGTACGACAGCAAGCGCTCTGGAGCTTGTAAAAGCAACACATTATTCAGTTAGTTCAACAACCTCACTTTGGGGAATACCAGCTCAAAATACTGCAACCCACATGATGCAGGGACATGATGCTGACTAGCAGGAACATCAGGGCAGATCAAACCACAAAGATGGTTCGAGTGCACCAGCTTGTGCACTAGAACAGCTTGTGGTTATTCTTCAGCATGTGACATTTCTTCACTGCTGAAGTGAGTGAAGCCTGGTTTAGTAATTCATCAGTTTATAATTGTTACATTTCTGATGGAGACTTGGACCTTTCACCCTGAAATGTCATGTAGTAAGTGTACATATAGCTATGAGAACATACAAGTGTAATTTCATTTATTAATATGCATGGCTAAATCAAGGATATCTGAGGTATATTTTGAGAACTCTATTTCCGACACAAATGTTTATTATAGCATGGCAACACGTGTGTTTCCTACTACAGAAAGAAGGACATCTCTTGTTTCCCTTAATGGTATTGTTAATACATTTATCAAAGCACATAATGGCCTTAAGAAATTGTTCAGTAAATCATTGATCAGTAACAGAAACTCAACAAATACTTTATTGGGTGCTTCTGACTTTGAGATTTCTCTTTACTTTCTCATTCCTTTTCAATAATCTTCTAACAACAAGCTTCAAATCTCCTAATACTTTTAAAATCTTTTTGCCAATTTCAGGTCACTGGAGCTCAGTGCACAAATGGGAAACAAATGAAAACAAATGAAGAAGGCTGTGCTTGAGACTCAGGTAGGGAACAGGTTCAGTGTTTGAGCGCAGCAGAGAAAAGGTTAGCCATGCCAGAGGATATTGCTCAGTGACCTTCCTGGTGTCAGAAGCTCATGTGCAATGCATCCTGGTACATCAGGGCAATGATGGAACAGTTTTGAGTAGGGCTGCTCAATCGTATTTTAATCGCAATTACGATTTAGGCTTGCAACGATTACGAAAACAACGTAATCGAAATAAAACGATTATTTTCTTTATTTTTTTGTATTATTAGTATTTTTTATTTGTTTTCAGTTGAATTATACTTAAAGTTCAGGGTAATGAACTTTTAAAAACATAATGTTCACTTTTTTTTTTGCACTAAATGGATGTTTTCAAAGTAAATGGATAATCGTTTTTAATAATCGTGATATCAATTATTGACCCAAATAATCGAGATTATGATTTTTGCCATAATCGAGCAGCCCTAGTTTTGAGAAAAGGAGCAATCAGCTTTCTCTGTCAATACACTGAAAAATGTACCATCCCTCCTATTGAACATCCACATTAAAGGCACGGAATTTTAACTTCAATGCACCTTTTTTATAATGAGAAAAACTCAAATGAAACTCCTCCAGTTTATATGGAGAATGAAGGAATTGAATGGAGCTGCGGCATGGAGGCCCCACACAAATCCATATACTGCTCAAACATTTAGCTGTCTCAAAGTATAACAATGTTTCGTGACTATGTTCCCTAAAGACAAATTGAAACAGGGCACTTTAATCATATAGCTCCCATTTGTAGCTATTTGTTAGTAAACTAGTCCCAGTCTGTGATTCAGACAGGAATTTGCAGTCAGACCCGAGTGTCAGTTCGACAGTTTGACCACAGGGTGGCGTGATTTCCTTCAGCAAAGTCTCAGCTTCAGTCAGTGGGGCTCAGCAACCACTTGGTCACAGTGAAAGGCACATTCAGGATGGCTCAGTAGCCAACAGGCACATTATCAGGATTGTGTGTGTGTGTGTGTGTGTGTGTGTGTGTGTGTGTGTGTGTGTGTGTGTGTGTGTGTGTGTGTGTACGCGTGTTAGATCTTGGGCCTCCAGCCCTGTATGAACTGTGTGATCTTGGTGACATGCAGTCGGCTCAGGTGGAAGTCATGTGACAGGATGTCCTCGGTCAGCTGCACCAGGAGGCTGCCGTCGATTCGCTCTCTCTGGAACACGCCCACCGCTGCCTCTGATAGGCCGATGAACCGCAGGCAGGCCGACACCTCCTCCAATGAGAGCACAGACAGGTCAGCAGGAGGTCGCCAGGTGGGGTCAGGGTTCAAGCTTTCGGTGACCCCTGTGGACATCCCGCCTCCCTCTGCACCTCTGGAGGAATCTGTGGTGGGAGTGGGCTCAGGGGAGGGGCAGGGGGATTGGCGGTTGAAGGGGTTTAATGCCCCAAAAGGAGCAAACCGACTCTGTGGAGGCCTGAGTCGAGGTCCGGAGGAGGAGAAGGAGTCCACCCACGGCTCTGCCCAGGTGGCCTGTGCTGGCTGAGGAGTGGCGGAGGTGGGGTCTGCAGTGCTGGCAGAGACTGGCTCAGGATTGGCGGGGTTAGGGGCCGGGCAATCCCCCCAGGAGCACGGGTAACAGTAGAGGGAGGCATCTGGAGAGGGCGAGCAGCTGGAGCAGAGCAGGAGAAAGTGAGGTTAGGTTCTAATATCGAAACACCAATACAAAGGGGAAATCATATAAATATATTGGGCTATAGTTTAGTTATATTCCCATATCCACATGTTATTGCCCCGTAAGCATTTATTTTGTCATTTGTAGGTCAAAAGTAATCAATACCTGTAGTTTAAATACGGGGCTTAACTTGGTGGTTATATGTATATAATATATGTTTCGCTTTGAACCCTTTTAAAGGTAGGGTAGTTAAGAATGGAGAAACCAGCTCGAGTGCGCTAGAATTTGAAACTATGCAGCCGAAAAAAATCTGCGCCTTCCTTCAGACTTCCTCACAAAGCCCCTCCTCCAACACACACGAATGCGCATATGACCAATGAGGGCACAAGAGTGCTTTTTACAGCGCCACGGCTTCCACAGATGACATTTTTTAATGTATTTATTGTCAAAGCATTTAATGTATTCATTGCTATCGGGATGTTAAGAGCATTCCATGGAATATAACAAAAAGTGTTTCTGAAGTGAATGACCTACCCCACCTTTAAGCATAGTTGATATAAATACCACCAATACCCTTAAGTGGCTGCTCTGGAGCTTTTGATAGAATAACACTCCCGACCAAACATCTATCCGTAGGCATGCTGGTTGCATTGTTGATATTGTAGGCCACACATTTAGAGAAGATAAAAGCTTTGAATAAAAAATGACCTCTGGTCCATCTTGAGTCAGGGAAGTTATAAATTGGCACCCCTTAATCTGTGGATTATTCTTTTCATACTTGCGAGAGGGTGCTATATGTAGCTATACATTGATATAGTTTAAGTCATTGTGTTAGCATTAGATCCAATGGGAGCTGAAATCTAACGACACTGGTCCTATTTCATTATTTTCCCCAAAGGAAGTGAATATTTTCCCTCTTAACTTTCTGCTACTGCTTCAAAGGAGATTTGGTGGCATCCTTTGATTAGGAAACACTGATTTCTTTAGCTCAATTCACATCAACCGCCACTGCTGATTTGTTGCATTCAAAAACATAGCACTCCCACTGTACCTGTCCTGAAGTCCAGAGGAGTAGAAGGAGAGGTTGGGCCTCGGGGAGGTGGAGGCTTTGGGGAACCGAGGGGGAACAGGAGGACTGGGGACTGGACTGGAGATGGAGCCTCCTTTAGAGCAGCGGGGGGGAATGGGAGGGGCGATCAAGTAGCGACACTCCTCTCTTACCTACACACACACACACACACACACACACACACACACACACACACACACACACACACACACACACACACACACACACACACACACACACACACACACACACACAGAGAATGAGAATCACCACAGCAGAAAAGTTAACTCCCAAAACTTGACTACTCAGGAGGTTTTATGGGATTGTGTGTGTGTGTGTGTGTGTGTGTGTGTGTGTGTGTGTGTGTGTGTGTGTGTGTGTGTGTGTGTGTGTGTGTGTGTGTGTGTGTGTGTGTGTGTGTGTGTGTGTGTGTGTGTGTGTGTGTGTGTGTGTGTGTGTGTGTGCTGGCTATTCTCTGTGTTCTGCTTGGTAAATGTCAAACTTGGTGACCTTTCCACCTCAAACAAACCCCCCCGCCTCACACACACACTGTGTCTTGGCAGGCTACATATCAGGGAATGAAGAACACTGTGTGGCAGGGTATAATCCAGATGCACAGCAGACTTCAACACCCACACTCTCTCAGTGTACCGCTGCTAGCTGCCACCAGAAAATAGTTAATTAAGCAAAACAAAGTGTGATTATTCTCCCCCTACAAACAAGTTAACATTAGCCTTGAAGAACCACTTAAAAAATCCAAGGGAGAATAGCACAGCTACAAAAACCTTGTTCTAAGCTCAGTTTTTCTTCTGAATAAACCTAATTCATACTAAAACAATTACTGACACTATAAGACAAAGCAAATACCATCCACCCTGTTTTACTGATAATGGATTTCAGGGAAGTGGAGAGCTGATGCAGAGTAAACACAATCTTGTTTTCTATACTAATCACATAAATTGCTAGACTGCTGCTTTATAGGCATCTTTCATTGTGAAATCAATAATAATGTAGTCGTTATTAAGACCAAAGGCTCCATCAGTATTGCACTGTAACACAGGACTAAGCTGCCTCTGTGCTACTGAACAACATATCCTATTCCAGTTTACAGCACACGTGTACCAGCATAATTGGTAATATATATTTATGTGTATTTATGTACTGTGAGTGTATGGCAGGCTTTCCAGGAAATCCGTCTGTGTGTGAATGTGGCCAGTGAGGTTTAAAAGCTGTTGTGTATGAATAATTCAAAACACGCATCCGGACTTTTAACAACCGGATGCTGCTGTGGATAGATATGAAGGATTAGAGACAGAAGGACAGGAGGCGAAGACGTGAACTCACAGCATCAGATTTTGGAGGTACAGGCGGCGGGGTAGACACTCTGGTCACCACGGTACCAAGAGACCCGTCCAATGAGGACGTGGAATGAAAGGAGATGAGGTTCGGCTCCTTTCCCAAGCCCTCTGCATTTTGATTGGTCCAAAGTTCCTCGTAAGGGATTTCCTCACTGGTCCTCATTTCAGCATCAGTCCACTCCGGAGTCACATACTCCCGCTCCTCACCTGGCCCCTCCCCCAGCCGCTCTCCAAGAGAGTCCCTGCAGCGCTGTGATAGGCCGTCCCCACCCCCATACCCGCACATGGAGAGGTGCTGCAGTGCCGGTGCCAAGGAGTCCTGACCCGACACACACATGCGAGAGCGCCGCGGGCTCACACACTCCTCTGTCATACACTCCAGCTCTGGCCTGGTTTCTCTCACAGCTCGAGAGTAGGCATCTGGGTCGAAGGCGTGTCTCAACAGGAGGCTCTCCAGCGCCGCTGTGTGACCCGAGGCCTCGGCCACGTTGAACCGGGGCATGCAGCGTAGTAGCAGGAAGTGGGAGGGGGAGACTTCCTGTCGGCGGAGCACCATGCAGAGCACCACCGTCTTGCTCACGATGTTGAGCAGCTTGTAGCGGTGGCCCTCTCGGACTGCGTGCCGGTCGTAGGGGTTCCTCGGGGGTCGTGAAGGCACCGACACATTGACGGGGAGGCGAACCCTCTCGATGATGCTGCGTACCGTGTGCTCCCCTCCCAGCATGCCTTGCTCCAGAGGGGAGCGTGTGCAAAAGCGTCCACGGCAACCAAAGGGTAGGCTTACGCTCTGATTGGTGCGATGGTTCATACAGACAAGGCAGGGAGTTTTACCTGAAGAGGCAGAGACAGAGAGGATTAGCCAAAGAGTCAAAGAGATTGTAAAGGTCAGATTGTTCCACATGAGCGGAGACAACTTGTGGCTGCCCTCTGAGAAAGCATCGCATCCAGTGTCTTTATTTCCCCAATTTCTTCAAAAAGACCTGTATACATATAGACTTTATTATTATCAATTTCCAAGGATGAATGCACACCTAATTCCAAGCACTCCATAAAACATATAGCTCAAAAGCTTCGTCTTACGTACTTCTAGGAGTCTTTCCGAGGCGTCTCAAGAGCGCGGTTAGTCCCGTCTTTTCCTTAGAGGGCGTGGCACAGAGAAGCTCCGCCTTCCCCATGAGTGACAGCTCATCTCCAGCCTGCAGAGTGAAGCTGTAGGCCTCACTGTCCTCACTGAACTCCCCTGAAACCACCTGCAGCATATACATGTATGAGCGTGTGGACATGACATTGAATGACAGAAACTTGAATTAGGATATTCTCATGTTTCTCAAACCTTGACACTGAACGTGATTGTCTCCATGACAAAGACCCGGTCAGGGAAGACTCCAGCTACTTCCTCCACACTGGAAAAATACTGGATTGGATCCCTGACGTCTCGGTCTTCATCCAACAACTTGAATTTCCCTACAGAGTACGGAAGAAAGATAAGGATGAAGGAGGTAGATACAAATATGGACAGGGGAAGAGGAAGTAAGTTCGAAAAGGAAGTGAGGGAAGGATAAGACAGAGGGAGCCCAGGGTAAGGAGAAAGACGGAAGAAGAGGAAGGGGACAAGGAAAGAGGAGAGAAGGAGGAAGGAAAGCAGAGGTTGTTTTTGTCCTGTCTTTATTTGATCTTTTACAGTCCTACTTCAAACACGTACTTCCGCAGTAGACACTGTTTGGACGAGGAGAATACAAAAACACCTCTGTGACCTCTGACCTGGCACCAGCTCTTTGCCAATCGAAGGCCGACGGGGTTGGCATGGAAACCAATAAAGGACCCCCATTCTCACGCAGAGCAGAGACACATCACCATGGAGACACTCACACATACACTCGCACACTTTCACCCTTTCTTCCTCTTGCTCATCCCCTCCTCCGTCTGTAAATCCTTTACACTCATGCACTCCAGTAACTGTGTTTGTGTTCTTGGAACCACTTTTTGGGGCTTGTGCAACTTTTTAAGGTTGTAAAGAAGCATTTTAGGATGCGTCCAAATCAGCCTTTGTAAAATCCAACTATCCTTTCCTCTTATTTAGCCGTTTCTGGGATTGCTTTTAACTAATTCAACCCTTGAAGGATCTTCCTTTTTTCTCCTTGGCTCTCAGATTGTGTGTGGGTGAGGGAAAGAGACATGAGATTTTTTTGTCTGGGAGGCAGAGCTGAATACCAAAATCCCCCATCCTCCACGCCAGCACCTCCCTCCTTTTCTCTCCCCCTCTTTCTCCTCCACCCCCCACCTTCAAATTCAACAGAGCCCCCAGGATAAGGAGCTTCCACCCACCGAACAATACCAGCAAGTGCTACTTTTCAACAAAACCCACCACCAACATTCCCAGAAGGACTGAGGAGGAAATTAAACAGAATTGCCACTTTACCAAACAAAACTACAGACATTTGTATAAGTAAGAGGATTATTGAGCTAGAACTGAGATGTAACAACATATACACATACTATTACTCTGAGAAAAATGTAGTTTTTATCTAATTGTGATTTTTCTGACAGATATTGCGATTCGATTTGCGATATTTGTTTTTAAGTGACCCAAGAAAGTTTATTGTAAAATGCGGCCATATCTCCGGCTAGGAAGGTCGCGTCTCTAGCGCCCCCGCAGCCCGAGCTACAAGTGAAAGAACTAAACTTACATGAAACTTCCGTTGGGTTGCTTTAAAGTCAAGCTTCAGTTTAAGATTCACCCTGTAATAGAAACATGTGATGGAGCATCACTAACCTGACTCAGATGGTTTGTTTCACCAAACCATCTAAAGCTCCATAGGAAGCCATTTGGAAAGGGCAGGCACTTTCAAAAATACTTGGCAGGTGATTGGATCAATCTGTCTATCACCTTCTATCATGGGCCACTTCTGATTGGTTAACAATGGCTGGTACATGTGGAGCACAGCACTTCTGATTGGTGTGGAAGACTGACACACAAGAAGAACAAAAAAAAATGTTAAAAAAAAATATATATTAAAAAAAATTGCAGACTTTGAGATTTGATAATTGCATCATTTCAAATTTCGATTTAAAATCGATTAATCGTTCAGCCCTAGTTCCAAGAAGAACAACTGAATCACAGAGGCTGTTAACTCCCACACATCAGGCTTTGGTCACCAGCTTCACATTACAGGGGTGGCAGTGGCGCCACTGGCTTCCCTGAAACCCATTCATTCAGCTTTTCTGTCCTCTACCCTTCAGTCTTCATTGACTGCCTCACTGATGGACAGAGAGGATACAGACAGAGAGGATGAGAAGGAGGGAGCATCCTGTTGTCTATCCCCAGGGAGGAACCTATATTGCTCTCCTCCTAAGCTTATTTAGACTTCCTGCATGAAGTCATCCCACAGACATTAGCTCATCACCGGCTTCTGATTCAACAACAACTCACCTGTTATTTAAAGAGACAGAGAGGTAGTCCTAAAGTATGCATACATTTCAACTTTGTTGTCTGGCTTTTCTCGAGTGTATGGTTAAAATTGTCCACAACTGAAAATAATGTTTGTCTGATATAATACAATATACTTTTAATAAAATAATACTTTTCAAATAAAGAATACCAAAGCCATTTGCAATTTCTTGCTAGTACCTACTTGATACAGTGAAGCCCATATTCAAACAGCGCAACCATTTTAGTTCCTTGTACACTTTTCAAGGCAAAATCTACAACAAAAATGGACACACAAAAAGCATGGACCTGCTGCTTTGAATTTTTTAAAGCTGGGCAGACACGTCAGAAATCCATCTGATCGTCCGACAGCCAGATGATGGTTAAGACAAATAATCTTGACCCCCTCAAATTAAATGTCAAAACAGACCAGGTCGGAGGAATTTAGACCAATTATACCACCAACTCTGCACATGAATCCAATTCTCCTCGCGTTGGGAATTTTAACTCGGCTAGCCACAAGTTTCTGGGGCGAGGGTACGGCCAATTGCTATGCTTTGACCACCATTATTTAACCTAGACGGCTCCTATTAATAACAACTGTCACAATTATATATGTTGGACTAACCTGTCTGCTCCTAACTGCTAATACTGCCAATATTATGCTGAAATGTCTAAAATGACAATGATCTCACCAAAACCCCTACCACTCTTGTTTTTTTGTTTTTTTCATTCTTCCGAAAAGGAGCCTGAGAGGCGGCAGCAGTGTGAGGTGACATCAGCACTCCATCAGTGGAGGAAACAATGAATAAGAGGCATTAGGATCCAGTTACACAGCGAATAATTGACCGGTCGTACAGTCCCATCAATGGGATGGAGCTCCGGTGAGGTCATCCTGGAGGATTCATTCAGCAGGAAGATGACAGACCAATGGACAGGAGGACTCACAAGGTCACATCTACTGTCTACAGCTGTGAGTATGTGTCCGTGCATTAATCAGTATCCTTAAATGTGACCATATACGGCACATGTTGGAAAAGATTATCTAATCCAATATGTACTATATCCGGTAGTGCTTTCGCCCACATGTTTGCACCTAGCTGTTTAGGCGTTAATATATTGTATTAACCCCTAAAATAAGAGTTTTCCTGTTTTGTCTTGTTAAGTGACTTTGCAGTTGTTAAACTCGTCGTACTCCACACTTTGACAGTATCATTCTGTATTGATAAGTTCCATGTCTTCTTCCATCCCAAACATAATGTATATAACATATTGTTGAATATGTGGGTGCTTGTTGGGTATAGGGCCAGATTTTTCTGCCAATTCATACATTTAACTGGGACTCGTTTTCTTGATTCTGGGAATATTTTGCCTCTGTGTCATGTCCTACTTTAAACATCTAATCTTTTTAGTTTGATCTGCCAAGTTCATGATGGATTACCATTAATCAACAAATGGAAGACCTTTCCCCTTGTATCGTCTCCATGTGTTCATTCAAGACATATTCTCATGAGTTCACGTGGGAATACATGACTAAACTTGAACTGACTGTATTTAATTCATTTATCTTTAGAGCAAGCCTTCAGACATGACTTGCCACTATCAGTTTATCATTGCTATCTTACTGTCTTTAGTATCTTAAGTTTAGTTTTTTTTGTCCCAACAAAAATAGAGCAAGTGGAAAAGGTTAAACTCGGCCAACATTTGTCCCCCCAGAGTGATTTAGTGAGAAATTGTTTTTCTTTTAGGGTGAGAACAAACCTTTGACTGAGTAGGACATTTTTGGGCATGCTTCTTTACATATGCAGAGTATATGTGTGTGTGTGTGTGTGTGTGTGTGTGTGTGTGTGTGTGTGTGTGTGTGTGTGTGTGTGTGTGTGTGTGTGTGTGTGTGTGTGTGTGTGTGTGTGTGGTCTAGCATTACTATACTTGTGGGGACCTAAATCTGTTTACATAGTCACGTGTGGGGACTGGCTTCCCTTATGGGGACAAATTGGAGGTCCCCATGAGGGGGATCATTAATTTTAGGGTGAAGACTTGGTTAGGTTTAGGATTAGGGTTAGGGTTAGGGTAAGGTTAAGGGTAAGGGTAAGGGTTAGGCATGTGTTGGTTATGGTTAAGGTTAGGATAAGTCTCCAGGAAATGCATGTAAGTCAATGTAATGTCCCCTGAAGTGATGTATACATGGTGTGTGTGTGTGTGTGTGTGTGTGTGTGTGTGTGTGTGTGTGTGTGTGTGTGTGTGTGTGTGTGTGTGTGTGTGGGGGTGTGTGTGTGTGTGTGTGTGTGTGTGTGTGTGTGTTGTGTTTGTGTGCACTCACCCTGGTACTGCAGAGGGATGTCTATCTTAGGTCCGATAACGTAGTGTCCCTCCTCTAGGCTGTGGGCAGTCACTGTGGTCCACTGACGACAGGAGTGTAACAGAACCACATCCTCCTCCGACAAGCCCTCCACACATTCACCTGGAACACACACACACATAACACACACACACACAAATGAATTAGGATTAACAAACCGTCTGCCGGCCTGAGAAAACATAATGAAACAACAGGTTTACATTTTTAAGATCACACTATATAGCTCAGTAAATGAAAAGCACTTATTGTAAGTCGCTTTGGATAAAAGCGCCTGCAATGTAATGTAAAACACTCCCCACAGACAAGCACACATACATGCATTTAGGATTCAGTGTCCATAATTACCACTATAAAGGATGGTTCACCACCCCTAACCTACTGATCAGGATGGCGCTATGTTACTGGCAACACATTATTACACAGCCCCCATACACACATACACACACACACACACACACACACACACACACACACACACACACACACACACACACACACACACACACACACACACACACACACACACACACACACACACACACACACACAGCTCTAGAGCCATCATGTAGCACAACAGCATTGATTTCTGCTGATGGCACAGTGGTACATTCACACACTACCCTTTACACATAGATTACATTGATGCACAGGTATTGTTCTTCTTACTGATGGATAGCTTGTGGTTTGAAAACAAACACCGGACAGATGAGATGCCATGTCAAAATGTTTTGCTGCATGTTAAATTATTTTTAGGCCCAAATCACAAAGACATATTTTCCAATGTTATGCCTTGTGGTAACTGAGCCACTCAAATAAACTTGTATTTCTCATCGATAAAACTTCAGCTACCAGACCAGAGCAATGGATGTGACTTTTTTCCGTTCAAAGCAAGAATTGTAAACAACAGTATTGCCATTTTCCATAAACAATATGGTTGCTCTGGATGACTCACAAACATTGCTGTTTATATGAGTTACTGCAAGATCCCACTATCATTAGGGTGCTGGATGTAAAAAGTCATGAGTTTCAGTGAAAAGAAGCCATTGCAAAAAAAACAAAGTCTTACATTTTTTGAAAGTTGCAATGGAAAAAGAGTAAAAGAGACCTTTTTATTTATCATTGGATTTTATTTCAAACCAATAATACAAAATACTGACAACTGTCAACAGTAAGGTGAGGAACCAACAACTAAACAGCCAAACCGGTAGCAAGAAGACACAATAAAAATATAAAAGTAGTCCACCTTTTATCAGCAACATATGGTTCTTAAACTATCAAGTATCACACATGAGAATAATCCGTAAACAGATTGGCGCTTTACTCCATAGTTTAGTTTCAAATGTAAATGTTGCAGCAACAGTTCATCATTGCAGCGGATGGATGCCAACTTTACATATTTATATATTTTAACTGATGATTTTAATGTAGTGAAGCAAAAAGTCAGTACTCTTTCTGAAATGTAGGTCTGAGTAAAGGTATAAAATAATTAAAAAAGTAGAGTAAGACGATTTTTACAGCACAAGTAAATGTACACCTTACTTTCCACTGGTTACTACCACAGCTAATTCTACTTAATTGACGTGAGAACATGTTTAAATGTGATTTGGGTTAACTGAAACGTAATGTTTTGACATGTTTGAGAATTGCCTTTATGTAACAATGTTCTTTAATGGATTTGTAGGGTAAGTATTTGATTTCATAGCATTGAATTGTAGCCCCCTTCACACTGAATTACACCCCCACACTTAGGCTACCATTGAACCACATTCTCTCCATGCAGAAAAACATTGTTGTTGTTTGCATGAAATACTGACATCATGCCCTTTTGTTAATAACTAACCAACTGGGTTGACTGGTTTTGCAAACAAGCAGGCATCTGTGTGAGTTAACTTCAGTGCAGTTAATAAACACCTACGGGTGCTCTCAATGACACGCGCGCCACCAGAAGTAAGGTGCGTAATTTTCGGACACGGCTCGGGTGCGCGCTTCTGCCCACGAAGGAAAGTTGGAGGCTTTCCTCCTCGTCGCTTCTCGTTAGTATTCACCACATTCACCGACAGATTACAGCATTTACATATGAAAAGAATTGAGCAGCACTTGAGCAACACAACAGACACTTTGTGGCTTTCCGGGACTCGCTGGACTGGAACAACTTTGTCCATGACACCCAGCGACCCTTCCCAAAGTAAAGACACCAAGTCTGAGAGAATCATGTTGGCGGAAAAACATGAAACAAATGCATTGAAAACTGATAATAAATGTTTCTGAGTGATTCCCGGGTTGCTGTATGAACTAAATAAATCGCTGTCCGAGAATTAATGCTGCAGCTGCATCAAGGTGGCCAGATTAAAACGAAATAATAACGGAAATACTGGGCACAAGTAGTTTCAAAATAAGAGCATCAATTGTGCCAATATATCTTTTACCCCTCCAAAAAGTATTTTGACTTATTATTTTTCCTTTAATTACATCAATAATGACCAACACATTGCAAAAACTAATGATAGAGCATAACAAATTACAATCAGTCCCTTTTTTGTAATTTGAAAGGCAGTGCTAATTGTATTGAAAGAACTATGAATAATGTATGCACTATAAAGCTATTTTAGTTTAGAGCAAATATGCAACGTTTTGTTTGAACCCATTAGGCAAATTAAGTTATGCTACATTAGCAAAACACTCAGTTGCCAGGAACGTATTATTCATTTTCATTATTTAAGTACATGCATAATACTTATCGACAACTAAACTCTGTAATTTAGTAAAAAAAACAGCATCTTCAAATGTTGGTAAACAATATAATAGTGTTTGTTCCGAACAATATAAACTACAGAAATTCTGAGTGTAAACGTTATAATATATCATTCATTAACATGGGATGATGTCAAATGTGGGTCATAACCTCTAGTTTGTTGACTGTGATCTACCACTGCATTTCAGAAAGATAAGCAGCACTTATTTGTCCATATTTCGTTATGTACACATTTTCTGTTTTAAACTTGTATTACTATTAATCCCAATTAAAATATGCGTGCCTAGATTTTAAAAATATTGTATTTGTTTGCTAGAGAGAATATAACTTATATTGCCAAGATTATGCAAATGTGTCCATAACTTCCATAACACTGATAACATTTCGGTTTTAACTTTAATTATTTAAAAGTGATAGTTAGGCATGTAAAAGGTGTTACTTCTCTTTTAAAACCATCAAGGTTGGGAATTTATTTTGAAGTCTTTTACCGGAAGCGATATATTTTCCTTCCATTCTTGATACGGTTGAGTTTTTTCTGTAAATGGCTTCAGTTGTTCTCACCCTGCGTTTTTATTCACATTAAAAAACCGTGTTAAACACATCCACCTCGATAAAAATATGACATGGATGCATTGGTCATACATATTCCTACTGTCATGATTCCTGTAACAAGGGTGGAACGTTAGAGCCAGTTAATACTTGTCATGCAACAGTGCTAAAAGTTATTTAACGGTGGTTTCCCCCAGTACCGGCATTTTCTTACCGTGTGCCAAGCGCACCAGAGTAGGCAGACGGAACTTGCTGACCACCGCGTCCAAGGGCAGCGCCAACGGGCTCCAAGTGATCTCCGACAGGCTCGCCGACAACTTCTCCATCCTCCCGGGTCATCACGCTACCGGAGATAAGGGTGCTGATAACGGGGAAGATAATAGCGGTGGTGGTGGTGATAACGATGGAGATGGAGAGGGTGGTGGTGGTATGATGGCAAAGAGTTTCGCCATGTTTGAATGTAGGAAAAAAGGGAGCGCAGTCACAGTCGGTGCGCAAAAGGGGTGGGAGGGAGAGTAAGATCTTTCTCTCTTTTTCTCCCTCTCTGTCATTCAGGATTTGTCCACCCCCACACATACGCGAGAACAAGACAGCACACACGAGTTTATTATCATTTATAATGGAGATCACATATGCAGAAGCTTCCTTTCTATCTGGCCTAAGCTTATTTGATTGATACCCTGCCATGTAGCTTCATGTTTTCTCATCAATTATTGCAGCACGTTGTCCACAGGTAAATCTGGTGTGTGAGTGGCAGGTTAGGTGAAAGATGCAGGGACTTTTCTAGGTAGGATTTCTCAATATTTCCTCCCAAGGTACCTTCAGGGTGGCATATTTACTAAAGTGATTTACTGGAGTATCATTAAATATATTTTTTAAGAATAGTAAGGCAGTGCAAAACAGGCAATTCAAAGTGCTTTACAAAACAAAGATTTAAAGTCTAAAAACATACAAACAAAAGTAGCCAACTAAAACATTAAAATGTGATTTTAAAGGTTAATGTTTTATCAGAAATAATCCAGAATAATATGCTAAATGTTCCAATCCCTAAAACACCACCAGTATAGACAGTATATGAAATATAAGGGGCCGTCATGATGTTTTAGTCGATGCACTTTGTATAGCCGGCATGATAAACTGGAAACCAGGGGCAGTAAGCAACCATGACAGCTCCCCTAGACTCTCAGGCCAGACATGTATTTAATGATGTGACATTACGGTAGAACAAATTCATGAATGCCCACACACCGGTATATCTCATTCCTCCTGTCAGAAACAATTCTCCTCAGTCCCAAGGAGAGCAGCTCTGCAAAAGGTTACTACTACTAAAATGTTCATATTCTTTTTTAACTGGTTTTGAGGTGAATGTTATGCTTACATTTAATATAACTAATGAGCTGATAGAGAGATCGTTTCCAAATAAGAACAACATTTCATATTTACAATTTTCAGAGTATTGACTCCATTTAAAGAAGTCCCATTTCTAGCACACACATACAGTAGTGATGTTGCAGAAGTGGAATCAGTTTATCCATCTCTTCACTCAGCACTAAACCTCTTTTGCCCCAGGCAGGATTCTGGTCAAATCACTCTTAGTTCACTGAACCAAACTGAAAACGGATTCATTTGTTGTCGTTTTTTTTGCCAACAACACGTGTTGCAGTGTGCCAAAACCCAGAGTGAGTAGTTCCGATGTAAAAGCAAAAAGGGTTGAGTGTGCAGATTGGATGTATTGTAGTCAATTGAGATAATCCCCTCACACATTGATTAAATTAGTGATGCCTTGCCTAACCGACAACTCACACATCCACTCATGACCAAATATGGCAGTGCTGTAGTTTATTCTGTCGGTCAATTAGTTAAAACGTAAACTCAAACTGTGATTCATTAGCTTTTAATAGCTCACTCATTGTAGCACAACTGCATGGCAACAACTAAAGGACTGCATAATACATACTGAACCAAAACGATTTAATAACTGATTTTTGGATGGATTTATAGTTACGAATGTTGTTTACTCCAATTTTAAACATCATTGACACAATTTAGATTCAGTAGTTGGTTAGAGAAAATGTCCAAAAGTATTATTCAAGTCTTAGCTCCACACTAGCTAGCATCCCTTTTTAAAAGTGGTATTGACCATGTTGAAGTACATTCATATGTTGTGTAGGGCAGGGCAATATGAAGAAAGTCTAATATCACAATGTTTAACCAAATACCTTGATAATGCAACAATATTAGATGTAATGCTTTCACAAAATATTTACACATTAGATTAATTTTCATTCAATAGCATTGATGTTCTGGGGAATTCAGAGAATATACATTTAATGTATTACGATGAACTAAATCTAAGATATCTTGCCTCACATCACAATATGGATATATTCCCCAGTCCTATTTCTCTATAGACACCGTCATCTGCTCTCTGTTTTTATAATAACAGTTACTGCTGAACAAAATAATGTGACTACACTCTATAGCCCCAACAAAGCCAACAACGAAATGATACGTTTTAGATAGCAACTTTATTGGTTCCATATTAACAAAAATTCAAATGTGAAGCTGGACTTCTGGACTAACGATGGGGCCATATTTTCACAGCAGGGGGAGGGTTGGTTGGCATGGTGGAAGACTTAATGGGCAGGCTCTGCAAAAGAAGAGCGCAAAAAGGACACGTTTAAAACCAAACAAAATTCAATGTAATCAAGCAAGGTCAGAATAACAACATATTGAGTCAAGTTGGTTGCAGACAAGCTAGCTAACATTGATAGAAAGCTGTCCAGGATCACGTTTTTATCAATCTGCGGGACAAGGTGAACACCCTCCGCTTTGCTAGCATTATATTTTGTGTGAGAACAATTATGCTTTTGCCCACCAGTGCTATGTTATTTACCAATACCAGGTACTCCTATAGTATTAAACACAAATGTATGGCTACTTACTTGCATCCTCAGCCTTTTTGCCTGAGAAAGAAAGAAACAGAAAGGTATTAATTAAAATGTTCCCAAACCACTGAAACACAGCTTTTTAAGTATCCAAGCAACTTCAGCTGCTTACATTTACTCGGGACTAAGCATGTCATGAGATCCCAAATATTTGTAACAAGTCGAGCTAAAATAGTATCATATGCACCACAACAAATGTCACCTTTATCACGGCTTCCCTTCATTTTAGTTGATCAATTCATGAGAACCACAATATATGATCAAAGTGATGACGGCAAATTTGGAAACATATATTCCATTACATAACAAAAAACATTACATAATGTTTTTATTATGGACTTCAATTTCAACATACTGTACAAAAGTGTTCAACTCACCTCCAAAAGCAAGTCTGGAGTATGCGAATGTATAGAGGCCAACTCCCAACCAGACCTCTTGGTAGGCCTTAGTGTAGTAAGGGCTCATCTTGGTAAAAAAGCTTGCAAATGCGCTCCCAGCCATCTGTGGGAGAAAAGCAGCCAGGGCATAGTCTTAATACAGTATGTACAATCTCAAACAGCAGTTTATTTCAGTCTAGGCATCATTGGAACATCAGAAACACTAGCCTAAAAAGGGTCATTCATTTTTTGAGAGACAACAAACTTAATTCACAATTTTACTGATTTGTTAATCTTGTGCTTTCCTGGTAGGTTTTGAAATGTCATTTTATAATGTGATTCCGCTGCACTATATCTTGCACATATCTCTTAATGTTTTTAAGGAAAGCACTTTGAATTGACTTGTGTTGAAAGGTATTCTATAAATAAACTTGCCTAGAACTATTTTTGGATATTTAATTAATCTTTAAATGGGTCCTACTTCCGGCATAATCGATGTTATACTGCTGTAATGTTGACTAAAGCTACGTTTTTGTAGTTGAATCCTGCATTGAGACAATGTTGTTAACATTAGTCGATATCAAGTTATCTGGGTTGCTTAAAGCTACAGTGACCCTTAGCTATGTCAGGCCTTGCTAAGGACTTATGAAATACTGATTAAAAGAACATGTTAAGAAAGGCACGCATTCACTTCTCAATGCATTCACTGTTATAGGGAAACGATGCATTATTTGTATTGACGTGTCAAATAAGTTATCATTACTGACAACAACGTCATTTATTTGGCTAATGCTAATAGTGCTAACATTACAACCTGGCAGTCATGGTTAGCTTTATGTGTACAATACACGCCCATTACATCAAACGAGAGTATTCAAAGCGGTTATATATATATGATATCAATGTTGATGTAATTAAACTTGTATAGCTAACTATTTCAATCAATGATAGATGCTAGCGTGTTAGCATGTTCTCAGCTACAACCATAGAGAATGCTAGTAGCAGGAAGCTAGCGAGCTAACTGAGTACACCTGCAAGAATAGCAAACAAAGCTACACTAAGTACAGATAATAGCTTCATTTCAAATTGCTGGCGTGAGACAACAACGGGTTTTCTGTTTAGAATGAAGTTACTTTGCTTAATACGTGTATATTCTTCCCTTACCTTTCAGTTTGTCCCTGCAGTGAGAAGGTCAGTGCTCTGTTGCTAATCGTCAAAGTCGTGGTGAAGTCTTCTTCTACGCTGTGCAGTGTTTTCTACAGGTTTGGATATGCAGCGCCACCAAATGGAGGTACAAGAATACGTTTACTTTGATAATTGTCTAGCTAGCTCCACCCTGAGGACTTGACATAACACAACACATTAATCTTTTCTACTTTCAACGTTTTGTTTAAAGGAATTTGAAATATCGGGGTTATTTGCTCTTTCAGAATCACAACACACATTTGTGAAAAGTGCACAGTTTTTTCCATATTTACAGATTCAGAACCATTTAATTATAATTAAATATAATAAAGTTTAAATAAACCAATGATGTTATGTTAAAAAAACGGGTCTTACAGTACTATACATGCATCTATTATAGCTAAAACAAATGTAATACCTTTACATTTGATCTGATGTTGTTTCACCTATGTCACTGATACTACAATTTCCATCTAGCTATAAGGCAGGGGTGCCCAACCTTTTTTGAACCGAGAGCTACTTTTAAAGTTGCCAGTCTGCCGAGATCTACCAGTCCAAATAGAGAGGCGTAGCCATTACTGACAGCCTCCCAGGTAAATACACACTTCTACTTGTATAAAACTGACCTTTGTACGATTAATACTTAATAAAATCCTGCAGATGCTTTATCTGACCTCTTTCTAATCTACACACATACAAGTATTCAACTGAAGTTACACAACAGTGTTGTTGATACAGAGTTGGAGTTTATTCACACGTATATATACTACAGTTGGTAATATTTTCAAGAAACATTGAACAGTGCTGCCACATATGACACAGGAAAAAAAGAAAAGACTCTGAACCCTTTCTTTGCCATTATATAAAAATAGTGTTGCTACAAAAATATAAATTAGGCTTACTAATAAGACAACTCAGATCTGAAGCTACACAGGTATCTGCTGTCAAAGTGCAATAAAAAAAGATTATCTAAACAATTTATAGAATCAAACCCTTTTTTTGTTGCATTTTAGTAGAGTATACAAATAAATGCCTTTAAAATAGGATGCAAGCAACACTAGTTTCTTAACCTGAATTGATAATAGACTATAATCAATTTAAGTTTGCATTCTTATACCGTTTTGTACAATAATTATAATTAGGGCCGGGACTCGATTAAAAAATTAATCTAATTAATTAGAGGCTTTGTAATTAATTAATCGAAATTAATCGCATTTTTAATCGCATATAAATATTTGACCTAAGAACAGTGAGAAGCAATTTTTTTCACATGGATTTTAGTATACCATTAGGCGCATTCACACCGCAGTACTTTTCCCACAAAGGTTCATGAGAACTTAGTTCATGAGAACAAATGAAGCCGCTGACGTCACTTCTTCTTCTTCTGCTTTGGGTTTACTGGCAGGCCGCAAACCACTTCACGGCGTATACTGCCGCCCAAAGTCCCCGGCCGGAAGTCCCCGGAATTGGGGACTGGCTTCAGTAGAAGCTGCTGGGAGTCCCAGCAGCCTTCCGAGTAAATCGCCAGAACGCCGACACCTCCTCATCTCCACCGCTCCCATGTTTTATTTTGTGTTGCCATAAGTTAGTCTCTCTGCGTTTCTGCGCTGGGCTAATGCTAATAATGCTAATGCGAGGATAATAAAATGGCGGCTTCACCAAACTTTTTGGGAGTTTTACGGGGCGTGGTTTGCAATACGCCCAGCCAATCAGAAATATAGCTCTTTTCTCACAAGAGAGCCGTACGAAAGTCCCTGCTCTCTAGCAGCTCTCTGCTCTCTAGCAGGGACTTTCGTGGGGGTAAAAAGGTTCTCATGAACTAATTTTAGTACCGGCTCTTTTTGGTGTGAACCATAGACTGTATGGTGTGAACGCGATAAAAGAGGCTAACGTCCACGCTAGCTGCTATATGTTTTGCATTGAGGTGATACTTGAGGCTTGATGTGCTGCGGTGATATGCGAATTCCTTTTTGCATAATTTGCACACAACCGTGCTCTTATCAACGCTTCCATCCGTCCGTTTTTTAAAACAACATTTCCCACTGTTGTTCACTGTGGTTTGTTGTTGTCTGAAGTCATGAACGTTAGTTGGTGCTCCAGTATAATCGGTACGCCTGAAACTCATCCAGTGAGAAACGTTCCGCGGTGCAAAAATAAGTGCGATTAAAATGCGTTAATTTTTTTAACGCGTTAATTTTTGTGTAATTAATTAATCTTAATTAACGCGTTAAAGTCCCGGCCCTAATTATAATGAATAAGTTCAAACTCACAGCTGATTAATAACGGTATCTAACTTTAGTTTTTATTAGATCAAAAACCTGTTGAAATGCTACTGTTATTTTTTACTGTCCCCAAAAAGCGCATTGGCAGCCTCCAGGAATGCTTCTTTCACAACTTCGCCGTCTTTGAAAGACTTCATGTGTTTCGCAAGAACGTGACTGACACGATAAGATGCTCTGGTAGCAGCCTTGCTCTTGTTGTTGGGCCTGGTGGAAATGGACTGCTGTGCATTTAGCTGTCCTTTCAGGCCCCTCTCTTTTTGGGAGCGGAGGGCAGAATTAGGAGGGAATTCCGTCTCGTCGCGTTTGTGCTCCTAAATTACTCTTCTTCGATAAAGCCACGCTCGCATTGCAGATGAGACAGATGGACTTTGAATTGGAATAGATACAAAAATAATCATCCTCCCACTCGGAGTTAAAATTATATATTTTGGGCTCTTTTGCTTCTGCCATAATTGCGGTCTTGTGTGTGTGCGGACTGTCACTCCTGTTGACACGGACAACGTCAGCGAAATAGTGCCCACTGCCCACCAGCCACGCCCCGACACATGGGGTCACGCCGGCCAATCACAAAGCTTTGATGCGTTCAAGTGCATGATTCTGGCACAGGAAGATTATGTCATAGGACATTAACGATAAAACCGAATATTGTTGTTCTATTTTTAGACACATCTCGCGATCGACTGGGAATCTCCCCGCGATCGACCGGTCGATCGCGATCGACTGGTTGAGCACCCCTGCTATAAGGAAACGTTATTTTTTTATCAGTTCTGTCAACAAAGGGTATAAAGCGTATCTAGGTCATTCTTAATGTTTCTTCTATTGAGGATTTCCGGGCAAAGCTAACAGTATGGATGGATAAGTCAACAATCGTAAAACTCAAAAAGTGTTTTGCATGATTATGTGACACTACAATAACCTTCTAACCCCTTACTTTCACATCATGGTGTCTCTTTTCCAATATCATGCTTTGTTAGATAGTTTTAGACTTTCCACAGGAACATTGTAACTATCTTATTTGCTGCTCTGCTTTCTGGTGCCTGTGCCAGTGCCATAACAGAGGTGAGAATTTGAGGTGAGGGTGCAGCTGCTGCGTTGCCCATGCTGACTGTCAACTATGTCTGATCACCATAGTGAAACAACAAATAAAACACTGACACTGCTGTCAAGGGTAAAGTTGGCATTGTGTAATGTGCTCCACTGTCGGTGCACCTTGTTGCTCTTCAGGTGAATGGAAAATCCTTAAAGGAGCACTTTACTCAAAATGAAACCAAATGAGAGAGAAAAAAGGAAGATTCATTTTTTAATAAACATGTCCAGTCATAAGTTGGTATGACCCCTAAAAGGAACTTAAAACAGTTTCACAAATTAAACAAAAGTACATTTCCAGAGACACTGACTGTGTTTTGTTTCCTGAAACATCAGTAACAAGGATCTGCTTTTGCAAACACAGCTGAAACCAAACCAGTTGACTCTGGCATTTGTGAGCATGTGATTACTTTTTAGCCAAGAGAAAGTTTGAATGAGAGCCGGCAGGAGTGATTTGGGCCTGCAGTGAGTGTGGGCGGGACTTTCCACTCTTGTTTGTCCTCATGCTCAAAAAGGCAAGAGGCACCTTGTTTCATATATGAGCACCTACAGCCAAGTCCTATTTGAAGGGACCTCATCGCAGAGTTGTGCCAATCTGAAAGGATACAGCTGAGGATATTTAGTGTTCATGTTACACACCCTACTGTTCTTCATTGTTAGACATTATGTACTGGCTGTGATCCGTGACTACAGTCCTACTACAGGTATGTTGAAGACTTGTGACCTGGCCTGTTATTTCTGTGTGTGTTTGTAGAGATGGATTAGCTACTTCCATACAGAGCAGTTATTTATTTGAGCTCTTTGTTGAATGTTTGCAAGTGTGTACTTGTGTCTGTCTGAGGTAAAGTATGGGTGTGGATGGGTGTGTTCATAACATGACTAATCAAACAGTGGAGGCGGTTAACTTAAATGTTATGGAAGAAACTTGGACACTGCAGTATTTATTGTTGATTTCTCTCGAGTGGAACACTTTCTAATCTACGTCTTGTGCATCTTTACTGAGGTTGATCTCCTGCTGTGGTCAGAGGCTACATGGCTTCAGGTGTAGCAGAGGAAGACGATGGAGGCATTCCATTGGACATCGACAACGTGCACATGCTCCTCCAAGGTCAGTCTATTCCTGTACATGATGTTGTGACATGTGATGTGCTGCAGCGGAGAAACCGTGCTGGCTAAACTTTGAAATGTGTTGAGGAGATTTCAATCCATTTTGCATTACTAGGATCTGATGTATATGTAAGTCGCTTTGGATAAAAGCGTCTAACAAGTAATGTAATAATATATATGTGTTCATCAACTAAAGAAGTGCTTGAAAAGTGAAAATACATATATTTTAAAGGCAGCTTAAAGGTGGGGTAGGTAAGTTTGATAAACCGGCTCGAGATACACTTTTTGTTATATTCCATGGAATGCTCTTAACATCCCGATAGAAATGAATATTTTAAGTGCTTTGACAAAAAATCCATACAAAAATGTCATCAGTGGAAGCCGTAGCTCTGTAAAAAGCACGACCAATCATCTGAGCCGGCCCGGCTAAAATAACTGGATGGCCTACCTGCCTGTCAGCCTTCCATCTGTGCACAAACTGATCTCGTGCCCTCATTGGTCATGTGCGCGTTCGTGTGTGTTGGAGGAGGGGCTCTGTAAGGAAGTGGCAGATTTGTTCCGGCTGTGTATTTTCAAATTCTAGCGCACTCGAGCTGGTTTCTCCATTCTTACCTACCCCACCTTTAAATGATTGTTTGCTGAGAGTGGA